GTGTCCGGGGCTCCTGCTGGGCGCACGCGTAGGCCACGCAGCAGCGGCACCAGGTACCCGGCGGCGACCTCGCGCGCCGCCTCCGAGAGCGCGTCCCCGCCGCCCCGCGCCCCCTCGTCCTCGAGCCGCTGCAGAAGAAAGCGCAGCGTTTCCACGCGCTCTGCGGACGCCTCCCCACGGCACAGAGTCCCGAGCAGGACCCGGGGGTCCCGGCTCTGCGCGAGCAGCGCTTCCGCAAGCACCCACTCCATTTGTTGCGCGCGTCGCCGACACCCGGCGCCCAAAGAAGGCTCCAGCGTGCGCGTGCGCCCCGAGCTAGTGCGTGCTCGTACGTGGCTGCCCCGGTCTAGCGCCCGGAGTGAAGCGGCTGCCGCCAGGGCCAGTTCCTGCTCTGTGCACTGTAGACATGTTGCACTAGCGCTGCCTGCAATTTGATCCCTCTCAAGCCGTCCCTTACTATTTTTTAGTAACGTCAGTGTATCTAAACCAGGCCCATCGATTCCTAATTGGAGGTTGACCTGCCCGAGGGCCCTAAATCAACTAGGTGTGCCTGTGAGCCACAGGTACACAAAAGGTGTCGATCACAGTCACCTGGAAGCTGATTTTCGAAAAGATGCAGTCTGGTGCCACCCACAAAGAGACTGACACGACGAGGTCTGAAATGGGTTTTGGACCTCAGTATCAAAATAACGAAAACACAAGAATGATTTAGAGGTCCTGAAAAACACTAAAGCTATGTGCAGGGGCACGGCTGGAAACCATGCCCACGCCAGCACATGCAGTCAAACGCCCAAGCCAACTCTAGCATGCAGACGGTCCCATACAATGCTTATGCTCCCACTGCTATCTCAAAAATTGTCCATGTGTCAGTATTTTCTGTATTTCTGACAGTATCTACTGCTAAATACAGAAACAGAAAACCTCACGTTAGCTTGGACAGTACTGGTTTGGTTCCTGACTCAATCCCAGGCAAACTGAATCTGTGATATAGGTTTTCTTTGCTCTCTAACCATAAAGTTCTCCCCTTAGTCCAAGGAGAAGACACACTCCCACCTTCAAAGAGGTTGCTGTGTCATCGACACAATAAGGCATAATTTAAAGCTATTTAAAGTTATTTTTATATAATTTGAAGTTATTTAATTTTAAAGTTATTCAACATATATGCAAGGTATTTTTTCCCCATATTTCAGTCATTCATTTTTCCATTGACAGAATGCATAAATGGTACTATGGTAAGCCCATTTAGAATGTGCCAGTAAATATCAATTGCCTTCAACATATGTTCTTCATATACCTATCAACAGAAATTGGCAACAGTCATGAGCAGACACTTAACAAATGACGATATGCAAAGGTAGCATCTGAAAAGGTGTTCAAGATCATCAACCATTAGAGAAATGAAAATTAAATCCTCAGTAGCATGTCACTTCACACCTATTAGAACTGCTAAAATTGAAAAGATCAAAAACACCAAATGTCAAGAACAAAGGAGGAAGTGCGATTGGAACTCCCATACATTACTGGTGGGCCTGTAAATGGTCCAATCACTTTGGAAAGCTGTTTCTAATAAAGTTGAAATATATAATACCTACTCTATGATTTGGCTTTTCGACCCCTAGGCATTTGCCTAAAATAAATGAAAACATATGCCATCAAAAACAATTGTACAAGAATGTTTTGGGGCAACATTAATTATAACCAAGAGCTTGTAATAACCTAAATGTCCATCAATAGAAGAATGGATAAACAAATTGCAATCTATTCATGTAATAATGCTATTCAGCAATAAAAGAGAATGATTTATTAATCCATGCAACAACATGAATAAATCTGAAAAACATTGTGTTGAACAAGCCAGAGACACCAAGCTTGCTTACATACTGCATGAGTCCATTTATATGAAATTCTAAACAAACAAAAGTCATCTGTTGTATAGAAATGAGAGCAGCAGTGGCCTATAGGGAGTGGAGATTCACTAAAACAGGACACAGGGGAACTTTTTAAGGTAATGGAAATATTTTATCTTAATTAGGGTGTTGGTTACGCCGGTTTCACATTTGTCAAGACTCTTGGAATTGAACCCATTAAGATCTCTGCATTTCACTGTGTGTAAGCTTTACCTCCATTTTAAAGAAAACTTATTAAGAAGAAAATAATAGTGTCTTATGTAGTGGTTGCCCATAACCTACAGAATAAAGCCAAACTGTAGAGCAGGCACTGAAGGCTTCTGGGATCTGGGGAAAGCCAGCCAGCCTCATAACCTAGCTCTCCCCACCCCCTCCACCCTGTGTTCCAGCCCCATAGAATGCTTCTCTTTTCCCACAACATGTTTGTACTAGTTATTTTCTCTGCCTGAATATTTCCCACAACCACCACTTTCCTCACCCACCAAAGTGGGCAGTGGTATCCTAATTGCAAATTTTTCATCCTCGCCTTACTTGACCCTGTTGAGGATTTCTTCTTGAAACACTGTCTTCCTCTCATTTTTTATCAAATAGCTTCTTCCTGTTTTTTCTTTTCCCTACTTCCCCAGCTGTTTCTTCTCATCTCTTCCTCTTCCTCACCTGTTCATACTGATGTTTCCAGAATTATATCTTCAGGTCTCTCTGCTTCTCTGTAAGTCACTTTCCCTAAGTGACTTCGTTTAAATTATAGATTCAACTACCATTTACAGGCTAATGATGAAAAAAAAACCAAATCTGTATCCCCAGCCCAGATCTCTCTCCTGAGCGCCAAACCTACCTATCCAACTGCCAGATGTCTCTGCTTGCACGTCACTCAGGGCATCATTCTCAGGCGCCACTCATCAATTGCACCCCGTGACCCGCATTCCCCCATCACCATTACTCCCAACCCGTGGACTCCTTCCCAGCTATTTCATATTTAGGGGAATGGCCATCATTCACTTCACTGCCCAAGGCAAAGCATTTGGGAGTCAATGGACGCCCCACTCTCTTCCTTGAGTCTCATATGCAGTTTCTCCTTAAATCAGTGTCCCGTCCATTCTGTCCCCCACTAATACTTTAGTTTTAGACTCTCCTCATTTCTTACTAAGATAACAGTGATAACCTCCTGCCTGATGCACTCTCTACTCCAATACGCACTTCATATTGCGACCAGGGTCACCTTCCTAAAATTAAGCCATTCGCTACCCATACCCCTCAGACAATGTTTCAGTTTCTTAGCATGATATCCAAGATGCCTCATGAGGTGGCCCCTGCCGACGTCTCCAGCCCCATCCTCCTCATGCCCCAAATACACCTGGATTTTGAAGTCCCTAAAACATGCCATGTGCTTGCACTTTCTCTTTCCAAAAGTCCTTTCGTCTTGTGGAAAGCCCTTACCTCTATTGCACCTGACTTGTTCTTTTCCTTTCAAGATACAGTTCAAATGTCATCTCTCCAGAAAGTCAATTCTGAATAGCTCAGTCACACCCATTGCACCTAAGTTAGGTGACCCTCTTCCGAATTCCCCAAACATCCGAGCATATCACTAACACAGCACTTGTCACACGGTATTATTGTAATCACAGGTTGACTTCTCTGTTCCCTCCTCCACCCCTCATGGGCAATTTGAGGACTGGACAAGGGCTTATGAAATTATGTCTTTTGTCACACTAGTCCCATAATCTGCACCTCTAGCTATATCACACTCAAGAAATGCTTATTGAGTACCCATCTCCTACTCCTCAACAAAAACCCAGGTTACCTGGCATCTCTAAGAGGCTGTTCCCAATGCCCCTAATTATACTTCTGTATTCCCATAACTTCCAACTGTAGTAATAATGGCTAGCAGTTACTTATTATAAATGAGACATGATAACATCTTTATATATTATCTCATTTAATCCTCAAAACAACTCATAAATGAAGTGGTATTATTTTTTCTCATTTTACAGGCAAGGAAACAGCATAGGAGAGCTTAAATAACCTGCTCCAATGTCACACACAGAAAAGCAGCAGAGCTTTCTGACTAGCAGCTGTGTACTCTGCTGTATTAGCTCCAAAGCATCAAGAAAGAAAAGTACACAGCTCCTGTGTGCAGTTACTGCTGACGTAATCTCTGCGCTCCCAGTGTCTAGCGCGTAGCAGGCACTCAGTCAGTTACCATTGTATGAATGAATGACTACATACGTTTCTGCCAAGCTTTCGAGCTCCTTAAAAATTAGGATTGTGCTTTCATTCATTTTGTATCCTACACACCAAACATGGTACCAGAAACATGGTAGCTACATAATAGGATTTGAAACTGGATAAAGAAGAACTTAGTATTTCATAGTGATAGTGTTATAACTTGGTCAGCTAGGAAATTTCCAGTGACATATTGATTCTTGATGCATGAGCATTTGAAAGTGGAAGTCCTTGTCACCTGGTTCAACACGTGACAAAATGCTGCTTTGACAGACAGAGGAGACCCAGTGTGAGAACCACCAGCTATCCCTCCTCATCCTCATGAAGATGAACAGTTGCTTCGGAAGTGACATGTGAACAGGGCAATTTTCCTTCTTCATCCGTAAGTGAATCAGGGTTTCTGACTAGCTGCCATTTTAACATCCAAAGCAGGTGCCGGTCTGGACAAGTGTTAGAGTCTTCCCTACCTTCTGTTCAGCCTCCTCCCTTTAGCTCATGTATTCATGTTTTCTGCAGTCTCTCTTGCATCACTGACACTCGAAGCCTGCCTCGTCCTGTTTCTTCAGGCAACAAATATGTCCAGTTCTGAGGAAGAAGTTCAGCCTGTGCTTTGTCTCGTGGCCGTCAGTGTCCAGCGGTGGCCTCTAAGGACCCATTCCCGGGGTGGTGCTCCCCCCTCCACCTCTGCCTCTCACTGCTGAATAACTTCGTGTTCGGGCTCTCATGACACTGGTTCCAACATACAAATAATTCAGGTCTATGGTGTTAGTTGTCTGCGCCATCTATTTTAAATCATTCCATGAGGTCTTTATAGGTGGCTATCATGGGTCCCCTTCTGATCTGAAACAGTGCACCTATAAATCTGATCATACGGCAGCACCTCTGAGTTTTAATCCTGACTATTCTCACTTTCCCCACTTAAAATAGATATGGCTTCCTTCTTAGGGTGATGGAGAGAGGAGAGGACCAGGAAAGCGGAATTGTGAGTTAGGGAAAGTGACCCGGGTAAAGTTCTTTCAAGTGTCTCCTTCTTATAGGAGGAGTAAGATGTATAGGCTGTAAGATGTCACAGTTTGCTATTCTGGAGGCACCCTTCAGGGGCTCCATTTAGCCTGGGGTGATGCTGCCAGGAAAGCCTCCTCAAGAGCACCACCATACTGTGAGTGCTAAAGGACCAGTACATGCCCA